TCTATTGTATATACAAAGAGTTTGGCCACAAGTATGATAGCATTATCCACAACTATTATCTTCATGTTTGTGTCTAGATTTGCAAAATGGAGCATCCTTAATAACATAGAGATCTATCTTAATATATTACAATGTTATGCCCATTTATTTTTATTTTTGATTTTTTGAGACTGGGTCACACTATGTTGTTCAGGCTGACCTTGAACTCAATATGTAGTCCAGACTGGCCTTATATTGATGGTGATCCTCCCGACTCAGCCTCCCTAGTTCTGGGATTACAGGCATGTGCCACCATGCTCAACAGTATATCACAATGTTTGTAACAAAAACTGATTATTCTGAAAAAGATGAGAAATATTTTGGTTCTCAGAGATGCAACTTCACCTTGAACTGCTGGGTAACATTTTCCTTTTAGTTTCCGGGTAAGTATCTTCCATCTGTTTCTCTATTTCTCTTATTTTCCACATATCTGATTCTTCCTGGATCTAATATTTTTTAACAAAGAGAAAGAAATAAAAATAAGTCACTAAAAATTAGCATTCTACTGTACAAAACAGTAGCTAAAACTATAGTCTGCACTAATTACTAAGTTAGGCCTAAGCTATGATCAGGCACTTAGAAAATATATTCTGGTTTCTCTAAAAAGTTGTTAAACAGTCCAGTCTAGGAAATCTCAAATACAGGAAATTCTTCAACTATAAAATGTGTAATCCTACATGTCTCTAAAATGCAACATGATGTTTTTTCTTTTTTGTACCAGGGATCGAACTCAGGACCTTGCATTTTCAAGGCAGGTAGCAGCAACACCGAGCTAAATCCTGGCCCAATATAATATGATTTTAATTGTATCATTTTGATTGAACTTTGACCATTCTTATAAGCAAAGCAAAACAGGTACAACTACATTTTACTGTGAAGAAACAAAAGCTAAGAGATTTTAACAAAATTTTTAAAAATTTGTAAGAACAAATCTTTGAAACTCACTAAGGCTGTCACTTTTCATGTTATAATTGTTTCAATTTTTATTTTTTATTAGTACATGTTTGCAGTACATAATGACTATATTCCTCATGGGGAGCTGGTACATGACACATCATATTCACATTATAATTATTGTCAAAAATAGTAACAGTATAAGCCAGGTTTGGTGGCGCATGCCTGCAATCCCAGCACCCAGGAGGCTGAGGTAGGAGGAGCACTGCAAATTCAAGACCAGCCTGGGCTACACGGTGAGACTGTCTAAAAAAAAAAAAAAAGCCAGGGCTGAGGAGTTAGCTCAGTGGTTCCGCCACCTGCCTTGCAAGGTGGATCCAAGTTCGATCCAAGTTCAATCCCCGGTACAAAAAAAAAGCCAGTATGTTTGATAGAGAACTTCCTAAAAATCAGACTACAATGCTCAAAGAACATGAACACATTTTATTTCTAAGTCCTCCTGAATAACTTGTTAAATATGTGCTAGATTTACCTCAGATTTATCTTTTTTAGCTACCAATCTCAAATCATATGAGTTGGTTAATACAATTGATTAGGCAGCATGGTAACAATTATATACTCACCCATTACTGAAAAGTCAAGTAATGTAACAGTAACAATATTTATGGTCAAATCACTACCATAGTTCACTGAAAAAACTACACATAGGGTCTGGCATTCTTTTCATTATATGTATTCTCCTAGGTGACCTTATCTACTATAACTTCTATCATCTCCCTATAAACCAATAATTCAAACTCATGTCTAGCCCCAATTTTTCTTTCTTCCAAGTTTGAATTTTTAACTGTAAGCTTCTCAACATAAATACGTTCAAATCAAACAAATTATATTTCATCTTTTGCTATTGTTCCATATTTTAATTAATGTGATCATTATCTCTCTCCTAGGTCACACAAGGTGATTATATTTAACTCCATTCCTACCACTATTATCCAATTAGTCACTAAGTGTTTTACCAGAGATTCTATCTCTGAAATTCCTCTTCTTCATCCCTGCAGATGTGCCTTCACTCAAACCCTCATCATCTCTCAACTGCAACATTACAATCACCTAATTGTTCTCCCTACTGTTTCTTCCCACCTAATCTATTCCCTAACCAGTTATTACCTTTCAAAAATACAAATATGAGTATGCCACACTGTTTAAAACATATGATGACTTCTTTATTGCCTAGAGGAAAAAACTGTAATCTCCAAACATCACAGACCAACACTATATTTGGCCACTTATGTCTTAATTTCTGGCATTATCTCCTTTATGCCTTTCTTTCCCCCAGTACTGTGGACTGAAACCCAGGTTCTTTGCCCTAAGCTACATACCCAGCCCTTTTCTTTTTTTCTTTTTGGGTACTGAGGATTGGACTCGGGACCTTGCGCCTGCAAAGCAGGCAGAATCACTGAGCTACACCCCTGACCCTCTTTTCTTATTTTTTGAGACAGTGTCTCGCTAAATCCACTTAGTCACCCAGGGTGATTTTGAAATTTGAATCTTCCTATTTTGCTTCCAAGAGTTCTGGAATTATAGGATTGCACCACCCCATTCCTAGCACATTCTCTATCAACTTTCCTGCCACATCCTACATGATTTATGATTTGTCTGTTTTTTGTGGTGCTGAGGATCGAACTCAGGCCTCTGCACATGCTAGGCAACCACTCTACCACCAACCTATATCTCTACCCCATGCTCTTTCTGTCATTTATTAATGCCTGATGCCAAAATGACCTTTCATATCAGATAAACGTATACCCATTCATCAAGAATCAGTACAAAGGCAGGGGATTTAGCTCAGTGCTGCTGCCACCTGCCTCACAAGCACAAGAACCTGAGTTGGAACACCAGTACCCCCACAAAAAAAAGAACCAGTTCAAGCATCAGTAGCCCATGTATCACTCATTCTATAAAATCTTTTCTGATTTTATAAGACAGATTTCATTATTCCTTCCTCAGTGGTCTAAAACACTTAAAGGGCCAGGGATTTAGCTTAGTAGTGCCACCACCTGCCTCACAAGCGTTAGGTCCCAAGTTCAATCTCCAGTACCAAATAAAAACAAAACTTTCTAAATGTTTCTATAATATAGTATTCATCAAACAGTACCATAATTATTTATTTCTTCATCTCTGTATCTCCTGCCAAAATAACACTTGGTGCAACATGTCCCCTCATTAAGTATTGGGGAAGGACTGTATTATACCTCTCACCTTATTGTGAGCATCTGTGTGCCGAATGACATTCCTCAGGAGGACTTTCCCCAGCGGAACCCGGGACATTCTTTACTCTGAAATTAATCAATCAATAACATTCAATAATAACTTTCCTCTCACCAGGGATTTAGCTCAGTAGTGCTGTGCCTGTCTCACAAGTGCAGGGTCCCGAGTTCGATCCCCAGTACCCGCTCCAAATTATAATAATAATAAATAATTTCCTTCTCTTCTAAAGAAGCATGAAGTAAAGGTCATTGAATTTGAAGTCAAGGTCCTGAAAAGCAGCTTTTCCTTCACCATTAAAAGACAGAAATGCCTGACAACAATTAATATAGGATCAAAGGAGCTGAGCTACATCGGAATTCTTTGAAACTGTACAAGATTGCAATTAAATGCTTTCAGGAGTATCACTTTATTTAATCCGCAAGTGGTGTTTTAATGAAGCCAAACAGTCCCTCATTATCCACAAGGAATTGCTTTCAGGATGCCCACAGGTATTAAAATCAAAGGATGCTCACATCTCTCATTTGTATATAATCTATGTACATGTTCCTACATATTTTAAATAATCTCTAGATTATGTATAATACCTAAAACAATGTAAATTCTACGTAAATAGCTGCTATCCTGCACTGTTTAGGAAATAATCACAAGAATAATCACAAGAAAGGAGTCTGTACATGTTCAGTACAGATGCAATTTTTTCAGAGTATTTTCAATTGGCTGTTAGTTGAACTCAGATGTGGAACTTTGGATACCAGAAGGTCAACTGTATTCCTATTTTGTAGGTGAACTTTCCTTAAAAAGCCGTAACTTGCCCCAGGTCACATATCCCAGGCAAATGATGTATATCAATGTCCAGATTAGAATTCAAATCTCAAATCTCAAAATTAGTTTTCAATAAAAAAATACAGTATCTAGATTTGAGTGTCAGAAACTAAAAGCCTCAACAATAACAAAAATGCAAAGATGACCTAAATTTCTTAAGGCAGGGAATTTTATTTCCTATTTTGCACAGAAGTTTCCAAAAACTAAGTGTCAAAGATATTCATACGTGTAGCTCGTAGAGGCTTTGCACAACCACCCCAATGCTCACTCACCCCTCGATCCTGAGGAAATCAGGCATCTTGTTAGTGTGAGACGAGGAACCACTCCATTACAAGATCTCCTCCGACCCAGGAAGCCAAGGAGTCAGGGCTCAAAGGCAGCTCTGCAGCTTCACCCGAGTCCTTCGTGAAAACGCAGGCTTCCCACCGGTTAATGTGCCCTCGCCCGTGGCCCAGGCCACGGCTGCCTTCCCCCAGCCCAGACCGACAGGCAGATCTCTCTCCGCGACTGAGGCCAGCGGGGGTGCGGGCGCGGACTCCGGACTGCC